AAGAATACATGGAATCATATCTTGAGGGAAAAGAAACTAAGGAAAAGCAAGAGGAGCAGATGAAGAGGCGTGTAGCATCTAATCAAGGAGTTGTTAAGTTGTCGAGCCCCGATGTGCAAAACATTGAAGAAGGTAACATTTAAAATTGTAAAAAAAAAAAAAAAAAAAAAAAAAAAAAAAAATTTCATATGAGCCAGCATCTTTCAATTACACCAGTCTATTGTGCCCCCCCCCCTCCTCTTTTGTGTGGATAACACCTAGTTATTGCATCCCAGTACTACCTGTTGACAGTTAATGGTCACCTGTATATCTTGCTTTTCTTAGAAGGGTGTTTGTTAATTGTTTTTTTAAGGTACCATCTCTTAATTATATCTGGCAAGGCGAAAAGAGCTTATTTCTTGGACATGTCTAAACGTCCAGAGGTTCAGTTAAATGCATTGCCTTAATTTGAAATTTATATTGTAGAATAATAGTATAATTAAGTCACTATGTACCTTTTCAGATTTAACTTAAAATTGTTTGGAAATATAGGCTTTTTCATACATATTTAAAATGAATATTTGATAACATTACATTAGGGATAATTATGCTGGAACTGAGACTAAGTAATTTATGTGTCATTTAAGTAATTATATTTTTCCTAAAATCACAGATGAATCCAGTTTTTAGTAGACTTAGCGACAGACGACTAAGACTAGCAGATTCAGTAGAAGCAAGATCTGTAGAAAGTAGAAACAAGACAGCACCTGTAGTGAGGAGCTTGAGTGGAAAAGAGGTGGCAGCAAAGGCAGAGGCGTCTGTGAGAGAGAAGGGGGGGTGATCCCAGGGATCGCACTGCTGTACTGGGGTAGCACGTGCTGCAGTTTGGGAAATACAGGGAGACAGACCTTCCTTTGGCTGCTGGAGAACAGCCTTGGTTATGCCACCTGGATTGTGTCCTCGATAGGCAAGGAAACCAGGAATGATGCATCCCTCAGTGAAAATAAATTCATTTTGAAGGTATGACAAAGACTTATGAAATGTTATTAAAAAATATATGTGATATTTAAAAAAATGTAAGGTGCCTATGCAGTGACTGTAAATGTATGTTTAACTTAGCTAAGAAGATGGATATTATTTGAAACTTTCTATTGCATTTGTTTATTTGCATGTATTTGTTTGATTTAAATGAGGAAATGGAAGTTAAGTGAGACACTGTGTATAATTTTTATTATGTAAAAATGAGGTGTAGATGGTCTGTAACACGTAACTGTAACATTTTAGAACTCTGTACTGATGGTAATGACTAATTTTTCTTACTATATAAAGAGCATCACATCAGCACTTTAAACGCTGAATCAATTTCTTTAGGAATCCTTTCCTGGGGCAAAAGAAGCCATAAAAATGAAACAAGAAGAGCAGCTGAAGAGGCGTGCAGCAGTTGACCCAGGGGTTGTGAAGCTACCACGCCTTGATATCTCAAACATCGCAGAAGGTAAAATTTTGATATGAGCCAACATTTATCTATAAAATAAGCTCTGTGAATATTATCATGTGTGAAATAATAATCTCCCAATAAAACCTATTGTGATAAAGAAATTTTAACATTGTTTCACTTGAATATTGTTAATATTTATTTATTTATTTGTATTATTTAATTTTGTAGAACAAGAGGTGACTGATGAGGAAATGCTGGCAATACCAGAGCCACAGGCAACATGTATGTATTGTTGATTAATTTAATTTCTGTAGTGAGCAGTCTCACTATCACAGCAAGTTCTTTTGAATGTTATAATCTTTATGATACAGTACTGTGGATACATATCCTGCCTGTAATTGGATTGAAAATTGGTAGTTGCCGAGCTGCTTTTATTATTTAATTTGTTTAATATTTTATGTCATCCTTAATGCCAAGTATATATATATATATATATATATATATATATATATATATATATATATATATATATATATATATCAGGCATGAGATTTGGTTTTGATAAAAAAGTCTGAAAGATTTTTCGAAGAAAAATCTTAACGCACACGTAAACGAGCGACAAGTCGACAACTCAAAACATGAAAATTTTCAAATGCAAGTTCAATGTCTTCATACGACATACACACAACCGATCTAGTAAAACAACCTACCTGAATTTATTCTTAATCCCTTTATCGATTTCTCTGACTCTATCGTCGTTTACACCGGCCTCAAGTAGCTTCATTTTCCAAAACGCAAAAGCGACACACGATACCACATGGAAAAAAACGCGCAGCGCTATATGAACAGGATACAGGCCGTTTTACGGTAATTGCATTCAATGACTGTATAAATGTCGTGNTTTAATTACTGTACCCCGCAGGGACGACGTGTGGGGAGGCGAAGAGACTATTAAAAGATTAGGTGGTTTTTCTTTCATGTACGTCCGCCATTTTTAGGTCACCGGCTTTGTAAAGCCTGGCTTAATTCGTTGAGAATGCGCTCTTAGAGTGTGTTGTGAAGCAGACAGCCAAGAAGACCACAGTTTGTTCACATCAGAGTATTTTAATTGATGAGTAACCTTAAACACTGCTCAAGTACAAATGTTCTCATTCTTTCCATTATATATATATATAGACTGGTGGACAACCGATTTCAACTGAAGAAATTGAAGAGTTAAAAACAGTTACAATCAGCTAAAAATGCAGAGAAGAAAGTGGAATTATTAGAGAGAGAAAAACAGAAGAAACCCTGCAGTGCTTAATCAAGGAAGGAGATGTTGAGGCAGAAGCAAAATGACAGGCCGCAGAGGCAAGGGCAGATAACGCGTTATGAAGAGAATTTTTAGGCTGACGAAGTGAGGCAGCAGAGTATGCATTTCAACAACCCGAACCAGAAGCCGTTTGTTCGTTTCTAAGACTCGAAACCGGACTTTCTAATCGTTTTAAGGACAAGGGATCCCTAGCTACTTATATATATATATTAATGCATATATTTATGAAAAATGAAGGTTGCATTTATAAGTTTGAGTTTATCAGTGACTGTCCATTTCTTATTTTGTTTTCTAGCACTAAGAAATTACTTAATATTTTATTTTGTGTTGCAGTATCACCTTACAATGGCAGGCCTATACCAGACAATAAGGAAAGTACTTGATGTAGATGGCTGGTACTACATCGGTACTGAATACCTCGAGTGCAATTTCTGTAAGAGGAAGTTTGCGAGCTGCTGCCCCCCCCCCCCCCTTGTCCTTGACCAGCTTCACCTGGGGCGGAAAAGCTATTTTCCAGCAATGCTGACATTTACGTAAGATGTGAATTTATTAGTTTTCCAGTTGAATTCTTACTTTGTCAGATTGTCCATCACAGGAAACAGTAGTAGTAGCTTCCACTATTTGTTTGTTGACAGTAAAAGAAAAAACAAGATCATAACTTGTGAATGTTGGGCATGATTTTGACAAAATTTTTGCTTGTAGTTAACAAAAATCATTTGCATCTCGGGTACAAGTGTGATTTGAAGGTGGTACGACTCCTCAGGCAGAGGACCTTGGGTAACTCGGCCACTAACGTGATGCACCAAGTGGAAGAACAGAGGCAAATAAGAAGGGCTATGTCACAAATAATGAAAAAGACCACTCCCGGAAGCATTGATCAACACCAAGTAGAACTCCCTGCTGGAATATTCCCATTAAAAACCGATCATGACCTTATGACATTTGATAGAAGTCTGGCTGACAGGGGAAAAAAAAGAGCAAGTGGTATGTTTAAACAAATCAATTACTATTCTAAAATATACATACAGCTACATTAACATCCTAGCTTCAATATGTATGTATCGGTATCTGCAGGCAAGGGAGTTATTCCAGGCAGCGTGGGGGATGGCAGGGGGAGATGGTGACCGTTTTCCTTCCAAGTGCTCAGCTTCCAGTGATGCTTCCTGTTCCTAAAGTGCCTTGGTTGCTGGAAGTATACCTCAAGGATGTATTTACCTGGCTGGAGGACAACAAGGCTCAAATAACATGGATGAGGACGTGGCCGATATTTTGTTATTGGCCGCCATATTAAACTTGCAGCCAGAAAAAGAGAGATACCTGGCAAAAACTGGTCAAGTCATCGCATAGAAAAAACATGGCCACAGCCAGGTGGGAACATTTTCAGTAATATCCAAATAACATCCACTTTTGGTGATGTGTTAAAAATGGAAAGGTGCTACAATTATTAATTTAGAGAATGCAACTACAATTAAGTGGAAGGAATTACTGGACGGACTGTGCACCAGCCACCCTTGAGAAAGGGGAAACCGAACACGGCCGCTTCGATGAACAGCTGGTCTAACCAATGAACCTTCAAGGACGGTGGGAAAAAACATAAGAACTGCAGATTCGATGGATTTTACATTAACTGAATCTTTGAACTTTTTGTGTACAGCTTAAAAAAAATAACCTAAGATATGGAGAAAATCATCATGGGGGATGTTGCCAAATATGGGTAAACAGTACACTCCATACTTCAAAAAGAGACTCATAAAAGAACGTTCAAAGGCTCAAGAGTTGATTGCAATTCAACAGTAATTGTGAAGATGTCTGCTGTACACAGAGAGAACATGGACACTTTGCCGAACAGACTGCCTAGAACATTGTTAGCTGGTAAAATATGTAAGCTATACCTTCAACTCATAGGTGTGGTAATTAAATGTATGAATAAAACAAAATGAATGCTACTGTCAGATCTTTTAGTTTCCTTCACTAACATACTTTTTAGAATACTTAATAGCAAAGTCAAAAACCTGTACCATTTTTCAGCTGGACTAAATACACTTCAGTGACATACAGGTGTTACCAGAAAGTCAACCACACTGTAAGTGTCATTTGGTGATATATTAGTTTTGTTTTTCCATCTTTGTAATAAAAAAAATCAAAACTCTAAAACAAAATTGATTAGGCAAAGCAAAATACATGTGACAATGTGCTAGATAAAACTGAGAAAACAGCCATGATGATAACACCCTACTTTTCCACCAATGACTTGCCCTTCTTCACACATATCTCTTATCACTTCTTCCAAATCTTTGGTCTCTTCTGCCATTTTTGTCACCATGACCACCGTTGCTTGCATTTTCATCCTCACTTGTCAGAGATTTCCACCATTCCCTTCCATCTCTGAAATAATGAATGCATGTGTTAAAAATATTTTTGGAAAATAAACAAAAAAGGTCACTCCCAACTTCCCTGTCAGTGACACATTTGTCATAATCAGCGATTATCATTATTACTATTTTTTTCTTTTTTTTTTTGGGGGGGGGGGGACGGGGGGGGCGGCGGCGGCGTTTGGCGTTTTATAATCATCATGAACACTATACAGTTTTCAAATTGAGCAAACTGGTTATAACTGTCCATTGTGTGGACCCTTTTAACTTTATAATAATAATAATAATTAAATAAATAAAGTTAATTGGGCTAAAACATTCTGGTGCTTCCCCATAGTATATAGGTTCTTTTGTCTACGTGAAACATTGTGAAATATTTAAAAGTTATCCACTCCAAATATCCTGAGGAAATCACTGTCAGGCAGGTATGCAGATAAAATGTTGCTCTTGGTAAATTGCGAACTATTCATCACATAGTGTACATTGTTTTTAACAGAAAACAATTGCCTCCCAACCATATTTTGAAAACTAAAATGCCAAACCCTACCTTCAGATAAAATAACAGAGGGACAGTCTAGACTTCTATTTCAGAGGACCACAGTAGCAAACTGCGGGTATAGCTGTCATGTCTCCTCCTCCAATGCTGGTTCATTAGAATCATGTCCATCAGTGGCATCTATAGTAGAAAACGAGTTATGAGGTGAAGAAATTTTGTTAAATGGCACTGAAATTCCAAGAAAATAGAAACATGTGCAAGCAACATTAAAAATTTGGTAAATTTCCCACTCCACAACTACAAGAAATCCTGCATTTTTTTCCCAAGGGATAACAACTGTTCTAATGTTAAATCTTCATAGGGCTTTTTAAATACCTTAAAATATAAAGCAATAATGATGAAATATATTTTAATTACCAAATATGTTGTAACACATGTTCTGGTGACCGTTGAACTCCTATTTAAGAATCATGTTGTGCTTTGTATTCCAAAACAGGTGTTGCACAGCTAAATGGATTCCTGAATGACAAAGATAAACAAATAAAATATCAATTTAAAAATTACTAACTTTGTATCAATCAGACTAATTGTTGTTATGGAGGTGTCTTAGGGGACAGGAAATAAACTACACACTGGCATCAAATAATGTAACTACTTGCAACAAAGTAACAACTGCAACAGCCAAACCAGTCAACACATGGCTTCTATGAACTAAAACCTTTTATACAAGTTCCGCTTCATCTAACCTAAACCTACACCACATGCAGTTTCACTGCATTGTTTCTTGCTCTCAGAATATCTGTTTTTTTCTACTGACATATTTAGGTGAAACAATCAGAACTTAGACTGTAGAGCCAATTAAAGCAAACAATCACAGCATGAGGACAAACACATGTCACTAAGCCTAGTCCATTCTGGACTAGAGTAGGTGTTTGTTATCAATATCTGAAATTTTTTTCTACCCTTTGCTACAGAGAAATGGTTAGCAACAAATACCATGATTAATTGACAATTGCCCCTTTAAAAAATTATTCTAATAAATTTAAGGCATTTAAGTATAATCCCACTTGAATTCTTAAATGCACCCCCCCCCCCCAAAAAAAAAAAATTTAAATGGACTTACCTATTCAGCTTTCATTCATATCAAGCTGTTGTTATTTTGCTTGGTATTTCGTTTATCAAAGGCTGAGGTCTGTCCCACAGATGTAAACAACCAACACTCGCTATGTTTTGGTCCACTTCTGGTCAAATTCTTAAACCTGTGCCAGAATAAAGAAGAAAAACTTTTTTTTTTTAATTTGCACTTGAACAAAATTTCCAACTGCAGCGTTTATAACCTAACTTTCTGAAAGCTAAGTGGAGATTGGCCCGACGTTGAATCGCATATCTCCCTCCCCTCCCCATGAAAAAAAAAGACGTCAGCGACTGAAATTTCTACGCTCTTCTATGACAGAACTTACGAAATAGCTTTACAGTTTTTATCTATTATGCCTTATTTAATAAAATTTACTCGACATGGCGCACTTTCCACAGCAACACGACTGGTGAATCACATCTCACCTTGGTGAAATCTTTGAAACTTGAAGCACATGTTCAAGTTGGCGTCTACCAGGCGAGAATAAATTTAAAGCACGCCTTCCCAGCATGAAAATTTGTCACTCTATGCCACATGGTTAGAACAGTTTCCTGAAACTGACAAATCAGAAATCAGTTTTGATACTTCGCGGAATCACGTTTCGGATTTGGTTTTGTTCATTTGAGTTTAGGGGGAAAGGCTAATTATTTTTTGTCGAAAATGTGGTGGGTATGTGTCATCGACATAAAGGGATGTGTTAATTCCTAATACACCTCGATTTAGTGCTCCTAAAGGTTAGTTACATATGGACATTATAAGCAACTGAAGGGGAAAAAAATGACAAAGAAAACAAACCTACCACCCCTTTCTTTCATAAAAGGGGATCCGTTTACCAGTGAAGGGTGACGGGTAGAGTTCAAATCCAGTTTGTGTGATTGAGTGTCAGGGAGATTAACGCAAATGAGGTCAATCGCCCTTTTTAACTTCCCTCCTCCCCGTACACACACACACACACACACCACATACTTTACTAGCACCCCCCCCCCCAAAAAAAAATACAACTTTCCCAACCTGCAGAAAGCTAGTTGCGTTAGAGGAGCTACATCTGTTCTTCATCTGTGGCTCATACGAAAGATTGATGTGCTAGAGAAGACTCTCATCCACTCCAGGATGGGTGTCAACATAGTTACAGATGTGGTAGAGAAGCGACGGCTCAACTAGCACACTGAGATGTCATTGACGGACCATATTTGAAAGTGGTGTTCAGAAAAACGGGTGGTTAAGAATAAGAAGCACTGAAAATGAATAGTTGAAAAAATGCCTTTTATTTCCATCCCTTTCACTTGTGTAAGAAGTCAGTATATTACATTTTTATTTTCCTTGTTTTTTTTTTTTTTTCACCATAACAAAGACACATACTTTTATGAAGACGTTGCATCATACTTTTCGAATATTCTTTATCCGGGCGGGCTATGGTTCTTCCAATTCCTGAGGGAACTTAAAGGGATAATAACTCTTCGTATGAGATCTATATTTCACAATAAAAACATTGTGAATAACTCATAGAAATATAATATATTCTGTTTTACCACAAAACGGCAGTTATAGCTATTTTTTCTGATATCTGAGTTTGTCTTTAGACCACGTGACCTCTATTGATGGCTATACTCTGTTTTAAGAGATTTTAACAAAAAAAAAAAAAAAAAAAACCAAACTTTTTAGAAAAAAAAAAAAAAAAACAGGGACTAACTTTGAATGTAAAAATGGATTCATTAACCATTGGTAAGTATGGGAAAACTGTTGTTTATTCCAGGAAAATTAATATTTTGGCCGAAATGAAGAGTTATTATCCCTTTAAATAAGTTATCGCCCGAACGGACAGTTAAAGCAAATTGTGCTGACTAGCGACCGGCTGGGACATGTCAGAAAATGAAGCGGATTTGTATATCAGGTCCGAAGTGCGTACAGCTGCATTGGGGCACGAGTGGTGAAGTGTTAAATCCTCCCCAGTGCTCTGACAGACAATAGCTACCACTCTGTTTGAGACAGGGCAGGCATATAATTTTTGCATGAACTAGGGCTCAAAGGGAGTGATTTGGGGTTGAATATCAGTCGTGGTTCGGAGTACGCTGAAGACGGCGAGTACCTTGTCTTGAGAATCTGAGGCGCAGGTCTTAGCTGCTCGGTTTGTGTACAAAGAGTTTAAAACGGAGCATTTGGGACATTTTTGTGGACAACTACACCAGTGAAGTGTAGACAAGGTAAGTTTATATTCATCTACGTCAATTACAAAACCAGTATAATAACACACTTCACTTTTCAATCCAGTCATTTCCGATAAACACACATGTAGGTCTAAACATTTGCTAATTAATGCTGGGACGACTGGTGTCTCTCTGCACCTTAGGCTGTATTCCCAGAGCTTTTAGATCGATCTATCCCCGCGGGGAGTCTCACTAGATTACTGTCAGATAATCCGTCTTAAATGTCCGTCCCGCCTACTACAAGCTGGAAGGGGGTAATAAACTTTCGTGTCCGCTCGGCTGACAGCTATTTAGCGTGAACCCCCAGGGAGTTAGGTCGATCTAAAGTAGATCGATCTAATCTCTGGAAATGGGGTCTTAGGCTCTGTTCTCACAACTTTTAGATCGATCTATCACCGCGGGGAGTCTCACTAGATTACTGTCAGATAATCCCCCTTAAGTGTCCGTCCCCGCCTACTACAAGCTTTAAGGGGTAATTAACTTTCGTGTCCGCCCGGCTGACAGCTATTTAGCGTGAACCCCCAGGGAGTTAGGTCGATCCAATGTAGGTCGATCTAATCTTTGAGAATGGGGTGTTAGTACTACATATTTTCTCCCTAGTTTACATGGAATGTCTTGTAGTTTTTATCAAATTTTACGTTAAGTGTTCAAAACTGGTAATTCTTAATTGCATATTTTTTTTCAGGGTAGCTTTGTACGTTCATATGTATTGATATCGTTTGGAATTAATGTTTTATTGATTTATTCACATGTTCAAGGGTGCTGGTTCTTATTTTTCATTTTATTGTGAGTCGAGTTATAAGTTGCACGGGCATTCTTGTTTTAACTTAGTGTCCTTTTCTAACTTTTTATTGTTCAGTAGTTTAGAATGATCAGAGTTATTTAGTATAGTTTTTCCTTTGTCCAATAGCTGAGAATGTACAGAGTGAGTAGTATTTATTTATCTTTATTATCTTTATTTATCTTTTGCGTATAATCTTAATCTATAATCTTAAATTAGTGGACGATCAGAAGATTAGAACGGGTCCTGAAGCACAGCTTTTGATTCGAGTTGTTTTTCAGACTGAAGTTGTGCTAAACACGATCCACAGAGCAGCATACATTATTTCATTTTTTTACTAGGGAATAACTGATAAAATAGAAATAATAATATATAATATATAAGTATTAAAACATTATTTAAGGAGGAAAAAGAAGTAGAGAAGAGCCAAAGAAAAGACCCTTATTTCTGTTTGCGGTTGTACAAAACACGGCGTGACTTTAATTTTGGAATTTTTTTCAAAAAGAAAAATATGGAACGCCTCACGAATGTGCGTGTCATCCTTGCGCCAGGGGCCATGCTAATCTTCTCTGTATCGTTCCAATTTTAGTTTATGTCCCACCGTAGTGAGGACAGATAAGTGGTATCATTTCTGTCAGTTTATAGTGGTAAAATAGAAGATGTCGGCTGAGGTGAGTGATTCTTTCGAAGTCGAAGCTTTGGTATTTTTTATTTTCGATAATAAAGCTAATAATTCTGTAAAATAGCCAAGGATACACTCCTAAACCGTAATGTATAACGATTTTAATAACTGATATAACATTATGCTAGTTTGTTACTGATCAGAATTATTTTCTTTTACCTATCTCATCTCTATTTCGATATTGACAGATGGAACACAAAACACAACACTGGCCAGCGTGCGTGTCGCCATCTGGAGGTGAATATATGTAGTGACAATAATAAACACATCACGTTGGGCAGAAAGTGTATACAATGTGGCGAAGTGGCCCTTCTGTCTCAATTTGACCAGTGTTGCAGTACCCCTGGACAAAGTGATCAACAGAGAACAAGAAAAGGATTTCATGGACGTAACCTCTACGTGATAATTATGCTTTTTTTGTTTTACTTTATTTATTTATTTATTATTGTTTTGTAAAAGGATGGGGTAAGTTACGTGCACGTACTCGGTGGTGGTGGTGGTGGTGGTGTGTGTGTGTGTGTGTGTGTAGGGGAAGTGGGTAGTTCCCCAACCTTGGATATTTTTGGAAATATTTCTAAAGTCCTACCGTGAATTTTTACAGCTGTCCCCGAGGCAATTCTCTCAGCCTACGGTCTGGGCGTGTGTATGAAAAAAATTGCAAAAAATGTAACGAATATTATCAAAACCCAGAAAGAAATATTTTAAGCAATCTTAGTAGTTTAACGGTGTTTTGGATCAACCATTGGATTGTTTTGCCTTGTCTTTAAATTCAACAGTCTGCACAACGCCGCCATTAGTTCATCGGGTTCAAGTGTGAAGACAGTGTGCGATTACTGCTCAAGAACTCGAGTGTAAATGTCCCAGTGTACCGCGTGGTTATTGACCGATCGTTTCGGCTAGCTAGGTCTTCAAAGATCAGTTTAACAAGTCATTTTTACTGTTGGCTTGCTACCATGATCATACTGCGTAAACCCTACTCGATTGAATGCTCATTTTAATGAGGCGTACTGTGTCAGAAATATTTTTATTTTAATTTTTTTTAATGTTTTTTTTTTCTCTTTTTAGCGCCGCCAGTCTGATTTGGCAAATATAACAGATTTCGACTTAAGTTTTGTCGTGGAGGGGAGCAAGCCCGTTTACGCGTTTCTGCAGTGTCTCGTGAAACGATTGTTATGGCGAATCGTTCCGAATGAACTGTGCGAATTAATTTTAAATTGATACAAATTACAAAAGAAAAGATACAAACTTTCACACAGGGATTTATCCCACGCGCACTAGAAAATAACAGGGATCGCATTGGAGCATACGTGTGTGCGATTTCTAGAATAATATTACGTTACACGCAACTAATATTTTAGAGCTCAAAAAATGAGATCCCTTGGGCCAATCATTTGCTTTTTACGATGTCACTGATACCTAAATTATTTGGCAAAATGTACCGGGCAATTAGCTACCCCTCCCTAAACTACAATGGGAAGGCTAAACTAAAAGTACATGATTCCGCGAAGTACCAAACTGACTTGTGATTTGTCAATTTCAGTGAACAGTTTTCTTCACCGGTGTTACCTCTCAGAAGTGTGTCAAGGGGAAAGAGACGTGTAGAAGCATGTTCTGTCTCTGCAGCAGGCGCCAAGTATTTCGACAAAAGCTCAAAGTTTTCAAGACTTTTTTATGGTGAGACACATGTAAGATATCACACTTGATTTGGTGAAAGAGGGGCACAGCGTCTTATAATTTATTTTATGGTTGTCGGTTGAATTATTGATAGAATTTTGCATAGAAACCAATTTTGAAGAGCAGTTATTCGGGCTTATATTATTGCAAAGTAACTCGTATGTGTTAAGTTATTTAAAAACTAGATTGTTTTAAAATATTTCTGCTCTTTGCGTGTATTCCAATAGTGGTAATGATACCCTCTACCAGGGCTGCAGATTAATTAGGTGTACTTTTTTTCAGTAGAGATTAAATAGTCAGAGATATATCTGTGAATATCTAGTGAAAAGCACTCTGTGGCCCTGGTAGAGGGTATGGTAATGGCATGTTATATTTAAAAATCAGGGCCGTAGCCCGAGCAAAATGCCAGGGGGGCAGTAAGCGGACACGAAGGGGCGAA